CATACATATATACACACACACAGATATATATACACATTTGTGTACGGCACACTTAGAGGAATGTATGGTTATAATATAATGAAAGTATAATAAGAACAAAGTCGGTTGAGGTGTGCTGAAACCGACGTGAGGTTAGACTTGTAAAAAGAGGGCCCACCTAGATAATATGAAATAATAAAGGGTGCGGTAGGATCGTCGATTACAGGCAAAGCCTTCCATTTGTGTACGGAACATTTAGAGGAAGGAATGGTTATGATCAAAACTGTACGACCGCCTGCTTCCTTTTCCCGAACAGCGGGGAGAGCGCTGTTCGATAGTTTTGTTCCCACGAACAAGGGGAACAATCGCTACTATGAGCCAGGGGGAGCCGTTTGTGCGTTTATTTGTTTTTCTTGACCTTATAAATTAAACCGGCCAAACCACCAAAACTTGTGGAACTGTTCTCTTTAGAGAGTCTCAGGCGGCTGCAGCTTTGCCCGGGCGGTGCGTCCATGAGTGCGGACCGCACCGCCCGGGCGCAGCCTGAGGAGAGGGGCTGACAGGAGGGAAGTGCTGAGCGCTCCCTCCTGTCACTCCCTCCCTGTAGCGTGGCCGAGCCTCCTATGGTATGGTCCGTGGGTACAGGGAGCTTTTGTCTCCTGTACCCGGCCGGACTAACAGGAAGTGCACACTGAGTGTGTACTTCCTGTTAGTCAGGCCGGGTACAGGAAACAAAAGCTCCCTGTACCCGCGGACCATACCATAGAGGGCTCGGCCACGCTACAGGGAGGTAGGGGGAGAAATTGACATGGGGGGGAATGGACAGGGGAAATGGACAGGTGGGGAAATGGACGGGAATTGATTTTTGTGACCACAGTTACAAACAGCCTCCAGGGAGCCTGTTCTACACCAGACCAGTGGAGCCAGACTGCAGCTAGAGCCCATCATCATCCTCATCTGGTTGTAAGTAGGCAATCTAGTCTATTATTCGTGGCACTAATCTCTAGTCCCCAGAACCACTTCAGCTTAATGTAGTGGTTCTGGTGTCTATAGCCTGTCCCTGCAGGCCTTTTAATGTAAACACGCGGCACTGCAGCACTGGCGTTAGTTAACATGGCAGATCATATGGGTGGGGCATTGTGATGTCACATGGGGGGGGCGGCAAACTTTACTTTTGCCTAGGGAGGCAAAAATCCTTGTACCGGCCCTGCCTAAGACTTCCATGGAATTCGAAAACCCCTGAACTGATCTAGGTGATTTTTGGATATGTTGGTCACCCAGATCAGGGCTATCAGAGGATATGACTTTTGTGGGGATACCATATGTTTTAGGGTGTGTTTCAAAGTTTGGGGAAACTGTAATTTTTCTGCATTGAGATAATTAAGTTATTACTTTATTGAAAGGGTTAATGCTGTTCTGGACTCAACTCCCCTCGATTCTCGATTCTCCGGTCACCATAATCAATATTGATGGAGAATCATTGTTAGCAATAAAGACACGGACACCACAAATGTGCTTTAACAAGACTCTCAATGAGTGTATTTTCAGGGCTAGCATTTATACACAGTTTGTCACGCAAGCAGCGAGATTTATAGTGTCCTTAGTACATAGACGTAGTTCATAGTACATACTTGTCTGACCAGTGGCGTACACATGACCCATGGGGCCCTGGTGCCAAAATTGATCCATGGGCCCCCCCCCCGCGCGGGCCGGGCCACAACACATGGCGGTGGGCACCTGGTCGCAGGGGTTACAGGGCTGCGACCCCTGTGACCGCGGTATGTACGCCAGTGCATGCAGATGCACACACACTTAAAGGACCACTCTAGGCACCCAGACCACTTCAGCTTAATGAAGTGGTCTGGGTGCCAGGTCCAGCTAGGGTTAACCCATTTTTTCATAAACATAGCAGTTTCAGAGAAACTGCTATGTTTATGAATGGGTTAAGCCTTCCCCTATTTCCTCTAGCGGCTTTCTCATTGACAGCCGCTAGAGGCGCTTGCGTGCTTCTCACTGCGATTTTCACAGTGAGAGCACGCCAGCGTCCATAGGAAAGCATTATAAATGCTTTCCTATGTGACCGGCTGAATGCGCGCGCAGCTCTTGCCGCGCGTGCGCATACAGCCGACGGGGAGGAGAAGAGGAGGATCGGAGGAGGAGAGCTCTCCGCCCAGTGCTGGAAAAAGGTAAGTTTTACCCCTTTCCCCCTTCCAGAGCCGGGCGGGAGGGGGTCCCTGAGGGTGGGGGCACCCTCCACTATAGTGCCAGGAAAACGAGTATGTTTTCCTGGCACTATAGTGGTCCTTTAAAGGACCACTACAGACACCCAGATCACATCAGCTCAATGAAGTTGTCTGGGTGTCAGGTCCCTCTAGTTTTAACCCTGCAGCTGAAAACATAGCAGTTTCAGAGAAACTGCTATGTTTCACTGAGGGTTAATCCAGCCTCTAGTGGCTGTCTCACTGACAGCCGCTAGAGGAGCACACTGAACGTCCATATGGGCTGTTTGAATGCGTGCACGGTCACAAGGGAGTCCGGCGCTGGAGAAAGGTAAGTGCTGAAGACACACACACACACTTACAGACGCATACACACTAGCTAACAGACACACACATTTACTGACAGAGACACAGTCAGCGACAGACATACATACACACTCACAAAACATACACTCTCACTGACAAACACGCACTCACTAACAGACATCAAACAGACTCACTAACACACATACACTCAGTAAGACACGCACTCACTAACAGACATCAAACAGACTCACTAACACACATACACTCAGTAAGACACACACAGTAACACATTCACTAGCAGACACACACACTAACACTCACTCTAACACTCACACACACTAACACTCACACTCACTAACAGACACACACACTAACACTCACACTAACACTCACACTAACTAGCAGACACACACTAACACTCACACTAACACTCACTAGCAGACACACACACTAATACTCACACTAACACTCACTAGTAGACACACACACTAACACTCACTCTAACACTCACACACACTCAAACACTAACACGTTTTTTTTTTAATATAATCCCCCCAGCCTCCTTACCTTTTGGAGTGCTGGGGGGATTCCCTGGGGTCCAGTGGTGCTGCTGGGCTCCTGGGCGGGTGGCCGGTCGGGCAGGCGGGCGGGCGCGCGAGGGAGCACTCAGTGCTTCCTCTTCAGCTCCCTCGCGTGCCGCGTAGGGATGACGTCATCTTCTGGCTCCGGTATCAGTGCGGTGCGCGAGGGAGCTGAAGAGGAAGCACTGAGTGCTCCTTCGCGCGCCCGCCTGCCCGACCGGCCACCCGCCTTCCGGGTGACAGCAGGGCCAGCTTCGGGGGGCCCTGGGGTGGTCGGCTCCTGGGCCCCCCAGGGGAAGAGACTGGCCCTGTGGGTACATACCGGGTCGCAGGGGTGGCCGGGCCCTGTCGCAGCCGCGACCCCTGCGACCCTGGTATGTACGCCACTGTGTCTGACAGTAAAAGATAAGCATTTGAATAAAGACGGGACAGGAACATCCTGAGGTCGAGCAAGGTCGCACATCCTCTAGTCTAGAAGGAAGACCTTGGTACAAAATACATCTGCCAAAGTCAGCATAATTATTTCAAACATTATTTTAAAGCATATAACGCAAAAAGAGTTTAACTATTTAATATCCTTACAGTCAGCACTAATGATTATAAACCTTATCTATGCATAAAATACATATGAACAAGAAAAGTTAACTACTTCATATTCTTACATTTATCAGCCTCAATTATCTCCAGGTAGAGAGGAGGGGATTATATGTTTGTACTGGGAGTGTCCCAGTGTTTTCCTATATTATGTTCCTGTGGGAGGTCCCCTTGCATGGGGACTTGCATAAAAGCCAGTGTGGCATCATTAAGCTTCAGTTCTGTTACACCCTTTATCTAGACTTCGGCTGATGTTTTGGTACCTGTCTGCTTTAGTGGGAGAACCTACTTGGGAAGTTGTTATTTCATATGGAGAATCGCTTACTTCACTTCCTGAACGGTGAGTTATAATCACTCATACTCTGGCCGTTCGGGAGGAAACTGACGAACAGGTATGGGCGATAACAGGGTTCGTTACAACATTATTTAGACATTTCATGGAAAACTAATCTAATTTCTTTCTCTGGATTAGGGATGTACCTGTTGTATGCGGAAGATTTCCAAAGTTCCATGTTTTTAATGATATGTGTTGGTACGTGATTACCGGAAGCTGCTGTGGCTGCCCCAATACGGAATGAATGGCCAGAGAATGAATGCGGGTTTTGTCCCAGCCTGAGTAACAATGTGCGAATGTAAAGCAGGAACTGTTTGGTGGTTAGGGGTTTCCCTTGAATGGCTAATAGTGGGGATTCGGAGTCAGTTGTAAACTGTGTCTCGACTAGATTATCCAATATGTGGATTGGACACCACTTGGTAGAAGTAGGGTAATATTTAATCTCTACTGCTGGGCCAGTCTGGCTCGTTTTGGTATAAGAGATTGACAAGATATAGTGGTCATGTGTTTTAGTTAGGTGTTTCTTCTTAAGGCATGACTAAGGGCGAATGCCTTCTCCACAGAAAATTCCTTAGGTCTCAGGAAACCGTAGAAAGCTATGTAGGCTGCGGATTTGATTATCAGATTAGTGACATTCTCAAAATGGGTCTCATCTAGTAGAGTGGAGATGTTCCTAAATAGGTTACTATCTATTGGAAGTCTTTTAATGGGATTATGAACTGTTAGTGTCTGAACGCCTCTAAGGACACTTTTGACTGGGTAAAATGCTGGGAATGGAGCTTTGTTTGGGTACATAGTTAACATGTAATGTTGTATGCCTGTTAAGTAAAGTTTGATTGTATTGTATGCTAATTTTAGAAATATGTGGCAAAAAGTTGTGAATGCGACCATGGTTTCTATGGAAAAAACATTTATTAGTAAAAATATAGTATATTTATAGTAATCACATACAAATTTTTTTTTTTTCAATTTGACAATTTTTATTTTGTCATATATCAAAAGGCAGTATAAGGGGGGTACAGAATAAAGAAGGGAAGGTGGGGAAGGATGTAGGCAACGTTGTTTACACGTAAATTGTTTTCGTCTCGGATATGTACAGTATATGTTTCACATTTCACATCACTTGTTCCACATTTCAAATGTTAGCGTATACAATATTACCCATTACACTTTAAACGGTCATGTTTTCCCAATCCGTATTTGCTGCCTGTCTCTGAGTCGCAGGTGTGGTATGGAGTACTGGTCGTAACATCGCCACTGTTGTGGTTGGATCCGTGGGTGAATTGCTTTACGGCACGTGTATTGTGTCATTCTCTCTTATCCCTTGCGTGTTGTTCTGGCCCCCTGTCCCTGCGTACTGGTCTCCTTAGGGGAGACTGGGTTTTACCCCCACAGGATCTTGCGTACTGTGGTTGCTTGGTAGCGTCTGGGCTGGGAGTACATGAGCCACTAGCGGGATGCTCACTAGAGCGGTTATCTATATACACTTACACATATTGAGTTGTAGCGCAAAAAATGGAGTGGGGGGGTGGGGGTAGGGTGTGCTGAAAAGTGAAGGGAAGGGTTTAAGGGAAGGAAAGGGAAGAGATTCCGTGTATGGATCTCTTGAACCGGTGCTCCTCTTTGTCCTCTCCCTAGACCTATGTTCCTAGTTGCTAGTTCCGCCTCTCTACCTCTAGTGTATCATCGACTCTATGCGTTAGGACCTCCTCCCGGGTCAAGTCACCTACGTTCCCTGTCTCTCTTGCTTTGGTTCTCTACTCAAGCCTTCGTGTCTTAGCGTACCTATACGTCTTGAGTCCCAGAGTGGTGTGCACTTTTCTGAATGTAATTTGCCCATTTGATTTTTGTGTCTATGATCGTGCGGTTATTTGTAATGTATTTATTTGCCATAGCTTCATATTCCCAGTTTGTGGATATTTGTGTTAGGAGATCGTGTCTGCTGGGCGCTCGTGGTTGTTTCCACTGTCTGGCTATCAGGGTTACTGCCGCTATAAGCACCTGGAATATCAATTGTCTTTCCTGCTTGCGCCAGAGGGCAAGATGCATGAATAGTATACCCTGTTCAGGTCCCAAGCTGTATGGGCGGCCTATTACGTCAGTGATTATCCCCTCCACCATCTCCCAGTAGGGAGTGATTATCGGGCACGTCCACCAAATGTGGTACATTGTTCCCCTTTCTCCGCAACCCCTCCAGCATTCCCCTGAGCTTCCCGGGTATATTTTTGCTAGTTTGTCTGGGACCATATACCATCTGTACATAATTTTCCTCATTGTTTCTAGGTGGGTCGCGCATGATGTGTGTCCTTTGTGTGTTTGGAATGCCTGTTTCCAGTCTAGGTCCGCTATTGGTCGCCCTATGTCCTTCTGCCAGGCTTCTCTAAAGTCTCCGTGTCCATTTGTATCTACTGTATTCAGTAGCGCATAAAGTTTTGACAGGATTTTTTTGGGTATACTGCCCTGTAAGCATATTTGTTCTAAGGCACCAATGTTTGGCGGTTCGGTGCCCGAATCTTTACCGTGTGAGGCCACAAATGATTTCAGTTGGAGGTAAGGGAATATGTGTCTGGAGTGCAAGGAGAACTTGGTTTGCAGTGTCGGGAATGGCAGTAACTCGTTGTTCACGCAGATCTGGCTAAGGTGGGTACAACCCCCTCTCACCCAGGGAGCGTGGTCAAACGTCGGTATGCCCACCGATATGCTCGTGAGTGGGATGTTCCTTATGTTTGGTCCGACCATGCCCAGTGATGCCCTCACTGCGTCCCATGTCTTGATCATTGCTGCCGTGGTTGGTAACATGGTTGTGTACGGCGGTCGTAATCTGTGCGGCAGCTGGTATAAGTGTCGCAGCCCCTGTTTGCATGCCCAGTGTGCTTCTATGTGGACCCACTGGGGGGGGTCTTCTACTACGTTTGTCGCTGCTGTGGCAGTCAGCAGTGTGGCTCTGTGGTAAGAACGAATGTTGGGCATGCCCAATCCCCCTTCTTTAACAGGTTTTTGTAAGAGTTTGCTGGCTACCCTCACCTTGCGGTTGGCCCACACAAACCGTACGATCAGTTTTTGAATTGTGCTCACATATAGACCTGGCAGACTAATCGGGACTGTGCGCAGCAGATATTGGAGTTTGGGAAGTATAGACATCTTAATCGCCGCCAGTCTGCCCAGCCATGAGAGATATTTGCCCTCCCATGTGTGTAACGTGTCTGTAAATGATTTGATCAGTTTGGTAAAGTTTAGCTTGAACAAATGGGGTAGGTGGGGGGGTATATGTACGCCCAAGAAGGTAATATAATCTTTTCTCCAGTCAAAGGAGAAAAGCCCACTCAAGTGTTTCAGCCGATAAGATTGGACTCCCACTCCCATAGCCTGTGATTTAGTGACATTCAATTTGTAATAGGAGTTAAGGCCGTATTCTTTAATGTCCTTCATAAGGTTCGGTAGTGAAATTTGGGGTTGCGTTAATGTCAACATGACATCGTCCGCAAACAAATTGATTTTGTATTCCCTATCGCCCACTGTTACTCCATGTATGGAGCTGTTGGCCCGTATTGTCTCTGCTAACGGCTCTAAAGCCAACACATATAGTAAGGGAGAGAGTGGGCATCCCTGCCTCGTCCCGTTGGTGATGTTAAAGGGTTCCGATGTGAAGCCCGCAGTGACCACCTGAGCCGATGGTTTGCTGTATAAGGCCTCCACCGCCGAGCAGAATGCCCTCGGCATCCCAAACTTATCCAGGACCGCTTTCAGGAACATCCAGCTCAGGCGGTCGAAGGCCTTCTCCGCGTCCAATGAAAGCGTTACACATTCTGTTTGTTGCCTGTGTACGCTGTGTATAATGTCGATGACCTTTCTCGTGTTGTCCCCCCCTTGTCTCCCTTTAACAAATCCGACTTGATCATTCCTTATCAGGTGCGGGAGGATTGTGCCCAACCTAATGGCGTAAATTTTCGCGAAGAGTTTTGTGTCAGTGTTTAGCAACGATATTGGTCGAAAATTTTGTGGGTGGATTGGTGGTTTGCCCGGTTTAGGCAATGTTATGATATGGGCTTTGAGGGCTTCTGGCGGGAGTGCGTGCCTCTTGGCTGCTTCATTAAACGCGTTAGTAAGGTGAGGGGCTAGGGTTTTTTGGAAGTGCTTGTAGTAACAGTTGGCAAACCCGTCTGGGCCTGGGGCTTTATCGGAAGGTAGAGAGTCAATTGCTCTCACCACCTCTGTTTCTGTTATCAATGTGGCTAGGCTGTCTTGTTGAGCGGGTGTGAGTTTGGGCAGTGCGATCTTGTCGAAGTAGGAGGCTATTTTGGCCCCCTGTGGTTGTGGTGTATTTGGGTCGTCCCTGAGATTGTACAATGCTTCGTAGTATTTGGCAAATGCGTTGCTAATGTCCTTGGGCGCCACTATTTTCTGTCCGCTTGGAGACAGCAAGTATGCTATTTTTTGGGCTGCTTGTTGTGACTTTAATCGTTGTGCTAACAGTTTACCTGCCTTGTTTCCCTGTGTGTAGTTTTGAGCCTTTAGCCTTTTCAAGTGATATCCCACTTGTTCTAATGACATTTGGTGTATCTGTCTTGTGAGTTTCGCGATTTGATCCTGCAGTTCGCGTGAGGGCGTTATTTGGTTTTGTGTCGTAGCGCGCTGGAGGTCTGTTTGGTATGTGTGGAGCTGAATTTGGGATTTCCTTTTTAGGTATGCTGCCCGTTGTATCAGTTGTCCCCTTATCACTGATTTGTGGGCCTGCCACAGGGTACCGCGGCTCGTTTCAGGTCTATCATTATCTTGGAAGTAGTGGGCTAAGTTTTGGGTCAGCTCCGTGCAGAAGGCGCTATCCTTCAGTAATGTTGCGTTTAGTCGCCACGGACTTCTATGGGTCGGGTCATATAGGTTTTTTAACGTTAGTTCCACCGGGGCATGGTCGGACCATGTGATCTGTCCTATCTCGCATCGGGCCGTTTGGTCTATCCCTGTCCCTGAGATAAGGAAGCCATCAATGCGGGAGTAGGTGTTGTGCACTGTCGAAAAGAATGTATACCCTCTTTCCCCTACATGAGTGGCTCTCCATACATCGTACAAATGGTTGTTGTGTATAAGCTTGCAGAGCGCCTTACTTTGTTTGCGGAGGGGCGCGGTGCGTTTCCTAGCTGGAGCTAATGTCGTGTCCATGGAGGGGTCAAAAACGTGATTGAAGTCGCCGCATATGACTGTCGTCCCTATCTGTACTGACTGCAGTTTCTGAATAAGTTTGTGTAAAAAGTTGCGCTGGTTCGTGTTGGGGGCGTAGATGTTCGCTATGGTGTAGGGCATGTCATTAAGCGTGCCTACTATAATGACATATCTGCCGTCCGGGTCAATATGTTGGGAATGCGGAGTATAGGCCACATTTTTGCTAATTAGTATGGAGGTGCCTTTGGTTTTGCTTGTCGATGTGGCATGGATTTGTATGGGATAGTCTTTCCGTAGGACGGTGGGATGTGCATTGGTCATGAAATGTGTCTCTTGAAGGCATAGAACGTCTACTGCTTTATGTTTGATCTCTCGGTATAGGAGGTGTCTCTTAACCGGGATGTTCAGTCCCCTAACATTGTGTGAGTAGATTTTCAGGGTGGAAGGTGGTCATAAAATGTTATTTGTGCTTGTGTTTGATCTATATATGTCGGGGGGTCCCTGTGTCCCAGTTCCTCCGAACTCAAGGGCTGTCCCCAGGCAGCTTGAGGGCTGCTTCGCATGATTCTTGGCTCAGAGGAAGAGAGCGGCATGATCTCCGCCTTGTCTAAATTTGGACGGTGGCTTACGGAGCACGTAGCAGGTGGGAGGGGTGTGTGAGGTGCATGTATGAGTACAAACATAAAAACAAAATAGGAAACAGTAATAGGAAAGTTATAACAAATCAACTTTTTCGCCGAAATATCGGCTGTGCACCAGTTGGTGGTGCGGTGGGGGTAGAAACTAATGGTTTCTGTCCTGGCTGCGGTTCGTCGGCCGCGGCTTTTGCTCGCGTGTTTTGCTTTTTTGTCTGGGTGACCCTCTTTTTTTTTTTTTTTTTTAGCATAATAAGAAAGTTTGCGTGAATGGGTTGTCGCTGTCTACCTGCCTGTATCCTGAGATTGCACGTTGGCATAGTTCAATAGAAAAGGAAAAAAATTTTTTTTTTTTTTTTTTTTTGTGGTTTTCTCTTTCTTTTCCCTACCTCTCTATGTGTTTGTATGTCGGAGCTTTCTGGGTTCTGTGAGAGGGCGGGTGGGGGCTCCCCTGTTTGGGCTTTCCCGGAGTCGGACTCTATGTCACAATATCCACGTCTTAGTCTCCCGTCTAGCCCTGTTCCCCAGATTACCTATGGCACCCACTCTCCCAGTCCTCCTGACCCTTGTCTTTGCATGTGCATTTGTCTTTTGCTCCCATTTACATTGCCCTTACAACATAAGAGAGTTAAACTAAACATATGTTATACAAGCCTGGATTCAAATGGCTGGATCAACAGTTCTCAGGTTCAGCGTCACAGCTTCTTCCCAACTAGGTGACTTAACGTTTGGCTTTCCTCCATGATGGAGGGAGTCTTTGAGTCTCTTTCGTCGCGGGCGGAGTATCTATGCCCCAGGTTCTGAGGATTTTCATTCCTTCGTCTGGGTTCTGTATCGTAGTTGGTCGTCCATTTCTCTGTACGATCAGCTTCACCGGGTATCCCCATCTGTATGGTATTTGTTGTTGGCGGAGTTGCGTCGTGATTCCCGCGAATTCCTTCCTGCGTCTAAGTGTGTATGCTGATATATCGGCATAAATCGCTATTGCTTGGTATGCCGCCGGCATGTCCGTTTTTTTCCTGGTTCTGTTTGCCCTCATTACCTCTTCCTTTATGTGAAAGTAATGCATTCTCAGCAGCACGTCTCTAGGGGTTTCAGGTGGTAAGAAGGTGGGTTTTGGCACTCTGTGAGCCCGATCCATCAGGAACATGTCAGGGGGCACATCAGGGGCGAGCGCTTTGAACAATCCCACTAGGTAGGCCGTGAGTTCTGTCGGGCCTATATTTTCCGCTATACCTCTAATGCGGAGGTTGTTCCTCCGGCCTCTGTCTTCCAGGTCAGCGGTTTTCCCCTCCTGCGCCTCCATTCTCTCTGTAAGGCTGTCTAGTTTTTCTGCCATGGAGTTTTGGGCCTCCTCATATGCCACCATTTTGTCCTCCAGCCCTGCCGTCCTGTCTCCCAGCTCTTTAACATCTGCACTAATGGTGCGGATTTCATTTTGCAGCGTGAGCTGTAACTTGCCTGCCATAGTGTCCAGCATCGCCTGCAGGATCCCCTGCGTGACCTGTAAGTCGGCAGCCGCCTGTTCTGGGGAGGGAGTGAGCTCTTCCTCGCCGCCATCTTGATTTTCGCCATGCGGTCCAGATCCTCGTGTCTGGCTCGCTTTAACGCCGAAGAAATTAGATTTCTCCCCCCGCTCTGTCTGCCGGCGTTGTTTAGGCTGGGACATCGTGTCTCGGGTCGTGTGGTGTCGGGTCACCCACTTTGCAGCTTGTTTAGGCCGTTGCCGCACGGAGCTCCGGCTACATGCGACCGCTCGCTCCGGAGTCTAGGACACGCCCCCCACCGCCACATACAAATTTTTTGAACAAATCATATGTTCTGATATAGGCTTTCTTGGTAATGAGTGACAACCCAGCCTGTGCGAGCGACCTACTGTGACTTAACAGGGTATTTAGAGCATTACGAGGTCTGTGAACTGTGGAGGTTCTTTGGGTTATAAGTTTGATGTCTGATGGATATCACAAATGCAAGAAATGGCACAGTAGGTGACTATAATAGCTCAAACACCCGTGTGGTATCCCCTATACCAACACAAATAAATACATACAATACAAACACAATGGATGGAGCAATATTAATTCTTTCCTCTTCTCCAATATATTGCTGTGGAGATAGAGAGATATACAACAATAGTGTAAATCAGTTACAATATATTAAAGTGCAGTAGGTGCAAGGAAACACTCACAAAATTAGAGCCAAAGGACCTGGCTCTGGTGTAGATGGCTTCTGGATCTATTATAGGGTGATCCTTAACCCTTCTGTCGCTGGTATAGTTTCCAATGGATAGAAGAGGATCCAAAAGATGGAGTGATAAAAAACTACTTTATTATAAAAAGAATATATACATAAAATATTGAAGGATAAAATATATGTAATAAATAGCAAGCCAATACGCGTTTCGCCAATTATGGCTTCCTCAGTCAGCTTCCAGTAATAAGTCCAGTTATTGTCTTTATATAAGTCCTTATTGGATTATGTTTCGCGGCAAAAAACTGCTGTGGAACGCATGTATGCGTTCCATATCTCCATTTGCATCCATTTCCTCCCTTCCGGTCACGCCGATACTGTGACGTCACTTCCGGGTTAGACGTCACTTCCGAATTCTTCCTCTGAGTGGAACGCACAAAGCGTTCCACTCCTTCTGATACCTCCGGTTTCTATAATGACCTCTATGGGACGCAAATTTGCATTTCAATTTCCCTCCTTCTGTTCATATGATTGGGCACTTCAATGGAACGCAAATATGCGTTTCAAACTCTTCCTCTTTCCCCTCTACACCATATGATCTCATAAGTAAGGGCATAATCGATTATATAAAAACATAATAAATTCATCTTTTGAACATATTATTAGAATACAGCCATATAATGAAGTGCCCAATTCTTAAAGTGGCCATGCTTATTTCATGAACAAAGTGCATATTAAAAAACAGTGAATTATTAAAAAACAGTGAATTTTAGAAAAAAAGTGAATTTAAAAAGACAATAGATATTTCTTAAAGTGACCATGCAGCTGTTGTCATAGTGAATATGCAGATGATAAAATGAATGTAATAGTGAGATATCTTACTTATATTCTATATAAAACATACTTTTGGTTTCCTTATGTATAAAAGTTAAAAGTTATGTCCCTATTATTCCTCTTCTTATATTATAAAATCATAATATATTAAAACTGTCAGTGAATTCATAAAAAATGACATAACTCAAAATCTTGATTAAGTCCATGTGGAATTAATGTTTTTAGATTATAAATACACTTCATCTCCTCCTCTCCGATCTTTTTATTAAAATCACCCCCCCTCCAATCTCTATGTATTGCTTTTATTGCACAAAAGGACATATTTTTTGGATCTTTATTATGGTATAAATTAAAATGGTTGGAAACACTATGCGTCTCCAGTCCTTTTTTTATGTTTCTAATATGTTCTTCAATTCTTATGTGTACATTTCTAATTGTTCTTCCTACATATATAAGATCGCAGGGACATTTTAAGATATAGATGACATTTTTGGAAAAGCATGTTAGCTGATTCCTTATCGTGAATGTTTTATCTTTTTGATACTGAAAGGAGGTAATGTGTCTTTTCTTTTGGTTAGTTTCTCTGCAAGCCAGGCAATAACCACATCCATAAAAACCTTTGTTTTTATTTAGAAAATGCTCATTATGTTTAGTAGTAAAGCTACTTTTTACTACTATTTGCTTAAGATTTTTGCATCCTCTATATACTACCATAGGTTTGGAAGGTAACATCTGTTTTAAAATAGGATCTTCTTGTAATATGGACCAATATTTATGGATAATTTTTCTTATCTTTGTATTGTTTCCACTGTGATTGCATACAAAGGGAATTTTTAATTGACCAGTTTTTTTCAGGTCTCTGTTCTTTTTTGTGTTCCCTTTGTATCTAATCAGATCCTTTCTCTTTATTGATTTAACCTCTTCCATACTGGTTGTTAACTCTATTGGATTGTATCCTTTTTCTACAAATTGTTCTCTAATTTTTTCGGCCTGTATTATGTAGTCTTTGTCCAAGTCAGGGTATACAAGAGAAATTTAAGAGTTATATTACAAAAGGTTTTACCCTGGGAATTCTAACAGAGGAACAAACAAAATATTTATCTATCACTTATCCAAAAACACCAGTTTTCTATTACCTACCCAAAGTTCACAAAGATAAAGAAAACCCCCCAGGTAGACCAATTATCTCAGGAATAGACTCTATTTCTTCAAGAGTCTCGGAGTACATAGATAGATTGTTACAACCAATTGTGGTTAAGAGCCCATCTTATTTAAAAGATACTATCCACATGTTGCAGATTCTTGATGAAATTGAATGGCAAGAAAACTATTTATTAGTAACTTGCGATGTTAGTTCATTATACAGCATTATACCTCACCATTTGGGAATTAAGGCAATAAAACATTTTTTAAAGAAATCAGATTTTAAAGATATACAAATAGATTTTATATTAGAAGGGATCTTATTAATTTTATCGAATAATTACTTTTGGTTTAAAGATTCTTTTTTTTTACAAATCACAGGTACGGCGATGGGCACTAAGTTCGCTCCAAGCTATGCAAATTTGTTCATGGCATATTGGGAAGAAATAATAGTCACCCATAATGCACAATTTGCGAACTTAGTGTCCTATCGCCGTTATATTGACGATATTTTTTTTATATGGAAAGATAGTGAAACACAACTCATTAAGTTTTTGGAGGATTTAAATCAAAATGAGTGGGGAATTTTTTTAACGTCTACGTACAGTAAAAATCAAATTAATTTTTTAGATTTAGATATTTTTTTAGCAGAATCTCAATTACATACTAAAAATCACTTTAAAGAAGTAGACGCAAATAGTTATATCGACAAGAATAGTTGTCATCATACCCCCTGGTTAGATAATGCCCCTAAGAGCCAGTTTTTAAGAATACGACGTAATTGCACCCAAGACAAAGACTACATAATACAGGCCGAAAAAATTAGAGAACAATTTGTAGAAAAAGGATACAATCCAATAGAGTTAACAACCAGTATGGAAGAGGTTAAATCAATAAAGAGAAAGGATCTGATTAGATACAAAGGGAACACAAAAAAGAACAGAGACCTGAAAAAAACTGGTCAATTAAAAATTCCCTTTGTATGCAATCACAGTGGAAACAATACAAAGATAAGAAAAATTATCCATAAATATTGGTCCATATTACAAGAAGATCCTATTTTAAAACAGATGTTACCTTCCAAACCTATGGTAGTATATAGAGGATGCAAAAATCTTAAGCAAATAGTAGTAAAAAGTAGCTTTACTACTAAACATAATGAGCATTTTCTAAATAAAAACAAAGGTTTTTATGGATGTGGTTATTGCCTGGCTTGCAGAGAAACTAACCAAAAGAAAAGACACATTACCTCCTTTCAGTATCAAAAAGATAAAACATTCACGATAAGGAATCAGCTAACATGCTTTTCCAAAAATGTCATCTATATCTTAAAATGTCCCTGCGATCTTATATATGTAGGAAGAACAATTAGAAATGTACACATAAGAATTGAAGAACATATTAGAAACATAAAAAAAGGACTGGAGACGCATAGTGTTTCCAACCATTTTAATTTATACCATAATAAAGATCCAAAAAATATGTCCTTTTGTGCAATAAAAGCAATACATAGAGATTGGAGGGGGGGTGATTTTAATAAAAAGATCGGAGAGGAGGAGATGAAGTGTATTTATAATCTAAAAACATTAATTCCACATGGACTTAATCAAGATTTTGAGTTATGTCATTTTTTATGAATTCACTGACAGTTTTAATATATTATGATTTTATAATATAAGAAGAGGAATAATAGGGACATAACTTTTAACTTTTATACATAAGGAAACCAAAAGTATGTTTTATATAGAATATAAGTAAGATATCTCACTATTACATTCATTTTATCATCTGCATATTCACTATGACAACAGCTGCATGGTCACTTTAAGAAATATCTATTGTCTTTTTAAATTCACTTTTTTTCTAAAATTCACTGTTTTTTAATAATTCACTGTTTTTTAATATGCACTTTGTTCATGAAATAAGCATGGCCACTTTAAGAATTGGGCACTTCATTATATGGCTGTATTCTAATAATATGTTCAAAAGATGAATTTATTATGTTTTTATATAATCGATTATGCCCTTACTTATGAGATCATATGGTGTAGAGGGGAAAGAGGAAGAGTTTGAAACGCATATTTGCGTTCCATTGAAGTGCCCAATCATATGAACAGAAGGAGGGAAATTGAAATGCAAATTTGCGTCCCATAGAGGTCATTATAGAAACCGGAGGTATCAGAAGGAGTGGAACGCTTTGTGCGTTCCACTCAGAGGAAGAATTCGGAAGTGACGTCTAACCCGGAAGTGACGTCACAGTATCGGCGTGACCGGAAGGGAGGAAATGGATGCAAATGGAGATATGGAACGCATACATGCGTTCCACAGCAGTTTTTTGCCGCGAAACATAATCCAATAAGGACTTATATAAAGACAATAACTGGACTTATTACTGGAAGCTGACTGAGGAAGCCATAATTGGCGAAACGCGTATTGGCTTGCTATTTATTACATATATTTTATCCTTCAATATTTTATGTATATATTCTTTTTATAATAAAGTAGTTTTTTATCACTCCATCTTTTGGATCCTCTTCTATCCATTGGAAACTATACCAGCGACAGAAGGGTTAAGGATCACCCTATAATAGATCCAGAAGCCATCTACACCAGAGCCAGGTCCTTTGGCTCTAATTTTGTGAGTGTTTCCTTGCACCTACTGCACTTTAATATATATTGTAACTGATTTACACTATTGTTGTATATCTCTCTATCTCCACAGCAATATATTGGAGAAGAGGAAAGAATTAATATTGCTCCATCCATTGTGTTTGTATTGTATGTATTTATTTGTGTTGGTATAGGGGATACCACACGGGTGTTTGAGCTATTATAGTCACCTACTGTGCCATTTCTTGCATTTGTGATATACATTGTTGGGAGTGTTTCTGTGTGTGAAGATCACCCCCTATCCCCTGGCATATAGATTAGAGTGACTAACTATGGCAACAACAGAGAATAGGAACTATCTAACTGCCAATATAGATTCTGTTTTTGGTGACAATATAATAACACCAAAAGAAATATATACAGATAATAACATGTGCAGTAAAAATTTAGAACGTGCCCTAATTAAAGAAATGAAAGCTAAATGGGAGATTGCTACTCTCAATAAATACGTAAGAGAGAAGATAACTCCAAGGGGCTTAAGATTCTATAAAGATCCAGCATTTGATAGAGAGGATCCATATTTTATAGATGGATGGAATAAAATGTTAGATGGTTTCTCGTTTAGCGCGATGGGATACATCGTGTCTAGACGAGAAGAGCATTTACAAAATATTGATGCAGATATTAAAAAATGGAAGGATAAACTAAGTAATACTACCAGTCCAGAAATGTTTAACACAACAATTATAGAAATCACTAAGAGAGTAGAGAAAGTAGAAAAAGAGGTTATAGAAATTAAGAAAAAGAAATATCTAAGAGATGTAAATGATTACAAATCTGGAAATGTAAGACATTATAATAAAACAAATGGGACCCAAAAGACACGTTTCAATCAATTTGACAATAGAGAAAGTAGACAAACAAATAATTTTCATGAACAACAAAAATTTATAAGAAATAGAAACTACGAAAGATCAACAGAAGCCTATAAACCTAGAATTACAAAAGAGAGACCCAATAGAACCAATCTAGGTTTCAATAGGACATACAGCGAGGCAGTGAAATACCCGAGAAGTGACCAACAATACAGAGAATATAAACAACCATACAGAGGAGAAAAAAGAAATATGCATATCAATAACCCTAATGAGATACCTTTAACTAATAGATTCAAGAGCCTAGAAAATCAAAATCAGGATCAGGACTCTTTTTTTCGACAGGATCCCTTCCAACACCACCGCAGACGATCTCAACAGATAGGAGAGACACCAGGGAAACGGTTGAGATTATCAGAGGAAGGAGAAATAGAAGAAGAAAAAGAGGAAATGACACGAGGCAGAGAAAAGAGGGGCAGAAATTAAATACAGAAGGGATTTTTAATCTTACAGGGTCCCCACTTGAAGAGGAACAAATTAATATCCTAAAAAAAGGTTTAAAATTTGCGCCCTCCTCAGATTTTAATGAATTCAATTTTTTTATTGATATTCAAAAATTTATAAGACAATTATCCCTAAAAATTTTTTTCTATAATAAACAATCAAACAAAGATGTTGACAAAGAATCTGAATATGTACAAACAGAGTTAAAACCTAAATCCCAATTTTTTCCGAAGTTTTTAATTTCAGACGAAATGAAAACATTCGAAAAGATGGTAATAAGAGAAGTGCAGAAAATTAAAAAATTAAATAAATTTCAAAAGAATATGACCACACAAGAATTTAAAACCATTGATAATTTAAGAAAGGATGAAAATGTTGTCATCAAACCTGCAGATAAAGGGGGGGGAGTAGTAATATTAAATACAAACGATTATGTGAAAGAAGCAGAAAGAATTCTATTAGACACAAATACATATAAGAAGATTAATATAAATCCAAGTCAGGGTATACAAGAAAAATGTAAAAGTTATATTACAAAAGGTTTTACCCTGGGAATTCTAACAGAGGAAGAAACAAAATATTTATCTATCACATATCCAAAAACACCAGTTTTTTATTATCTACCCAAAGTTCACAAAGATAAAGAAAACCCCCCAGGTAGACCAATTATCTCAGGAATAGACTCTATTTCTTCAAGAGTCTCGGAATATATAGATAGATTGTTACAACCAATTGTGGTTAAGAGCCCATCTTATCTAAAAGATACTATCCACATGTTGCAGATTCTTGATGAAATTGAATGGCAAGAAAACTATCTATTAGTAACTTGCGATGTTAGTTCATTATACAGCATTATACCTCACCATTTGGGAATTAAGGCAATAAAACATTTTTTAAAGAAATCAGATTTTAAAGATATACAAATAGATTTTATACTAGAAGGGATTTTACTAATTTTATCGAATAATTACTTTTGGTTTAAAGATTCTTTTTTTTTTACAAATCACAGGTACGGCGATGGGCACTAAGTTCGCTCCAAGCTATGCAAATTTGTTCATGGCATATTGGGAAGAAACAATAGTCACCCATAATGTACAATTTGCGAACTTAGTGTCCTATCGCCGTTATATTGACGATATTTTTTTTATATGGAAAGATAGTGAAACACAACTCATTAAGTTTTTGGAGGATTTAAATCAAAATGAGTGGGGAATTTTTTTAACGTCTACGTACAGTAAAAATCAAATTAATTTTTTAGATTTAGATATTTTTTTAGCAGAATCTCAATTACATACAAAAAATCACTTTAAAGAAGTAGACGCAAATAGTTATATTGACAAGAATAGTTGTCATCATACCCCCTGGTTAGATAATGCCCCTAAGAGCCAGTTTTTAAGAATACGACGTAATTGCACCCAAGACAAAGACTACATAACACAGGCCGAAAAAATTAGAGAACAATTTGTAGAAAAAGGATACAATCCAATAGAGTTAACAACCAGTATGGAAGAGGTTAAATCAATAAAGAGAAAGGATCTGATTAGATACAAAGGGAACACAAAAAAGAACAGAGACCTGAAAAAAACTGGTCAATTAAAAATTCCCTTTATATGCAATCACAGTGGAAACAATACAAAGATAAGAAGAATTATCCATAAATATTGGTCCATATTACAAGAAGATCCTATTTTAAAACAGATTTTACCTTCCAAACCTATGGTAGTATATAGAGGATGCAAAAATCTTAAGCAAATAGTAGTAAAAAGTAGCTTTACTACTAAACATAATAAGCATTTTCTAAATAAAAACAAAGGTTTTTATGGATGCGGTTCTTGCCTGGCTTGCAGAGAAACTAACCAAAAGAAAAGACACATTACCTCCTTTCAGTATCAAAAAGATAAAACATTCACGATAAGGAATCAGCTAACATGCTTTTCCAAAAATGTCATCTATATTTTAAAATGTCCCTGCGATCTTATATATGTAGGAAGAACAATTAGAAATGTACACATAAGAATTGAAGAACACATTAGAAACATAAAAAAAGGACTGGAGACGCATAGTGTTTCCAACCATTTTAATTTATACCATAATAAAGATCCAAAAAATATGTCCTTTTGTGCAATAAAAGCAATACATAGAGATTGGAGGGGGGGTGATTTTAATAAAAAGATCGGAGAGGAGGAGATGAAGTGTATTTATAATCTAAAAACATTAATTCCACATGGACTTAATCAAGATTTTGAGTTATGTCATTTTTTATGAATTCACTGACAGTTTTAATATATTATGATTTTATAATATAAGAAGAGGAATAATAGGGACATAACTTTTAACTTTTATACATAAGGAAACCAAAAGTATGTTTTATATAGAATATAAGTAAGATATCTCACTATTACATTCATTTTATCATCTGCATATTCACTATGACAACAGCTGCATGGTCACTTTAAGAAATATCTATTGTCTTTTTAAATTCACTTTTTTTCTAAAATTCACTGTTTTTTAATAATTCACTGTTTTTTAATATGCACTTTGTTCATGAAATAAGCATGGCCACTTTAAGAATTGGGCACTTCATTATATGGCTGTATTCTAATAATATGTTCAAAAGATGAATTTATTATGTTTTTATATAATCGATTATGCCCTTACTTATGAGATCATATGGTGTAGAGGGGAAAGAGGAAGAGTTTGAAACGCATATTTGCGTTCCATTGAAGTGCCCAATCATATGAACAGAAGGAGGGAAATTGAAATGCAAATTTGCGTCCCATAGAGGTCATTATAGAAACCGGAGGTATCAGAAGGAGTGGAACGCTTTGTGCGTTCCACTCAGAGGAAGAATTCGGAAGTGACGTCTAACCCGGAAGTGACGTCACAGTATCGGCGTGACCGGAAGGGAGGAAATGGATGCAAATGGAGATATGGAACGCATACATGCGTTCCACAGCAGTTTTTTGCCGCGAAACATAATCCAATAAGGACTTATATAAAGACAATAACTGGACTTATTACTGGAAGCTGACTGAGGAAGCCATAATTGGCGAAACGCGTATTGGCTTGCTATTTATTACATATATTTTATCCTTCAATATTTTATGTATATATTCTTTTTATAATAAAGTAGTTTTTTATCACTCCATCTTTTGGATCCTCTTCTATCCATTGGAAACTATACCAGCGACAGAAGGGTTAAGGATCACCCTATAATAGATCCAGAAGCCATCTACACCAGAGCCAGGTCCTTTGGCTCTAATTTTGTGAGTGTTTCCTTGCACCTACTGCACTTTAATATATATTGTAACTGATTTACACTATTGATGTCTGATGGAGTCTGAAAAATCCCTGCAAACTAGAACGTGAGAGTGCGTCAGCTGCGTTATTCTGAATGCCTGGAACGTGAATACAATTTAGACAGAACTGTAGATTTGCTGCTAACCAGGTAAGTTTCCTTACTAAGTTCATGATGACTTTATTAATGATGTTACATGCTGTCAGGTTGTCTGAGAAACACCTCACTGATTTACCTCTCCACTCTTTACCCCAAATGTGTGCTGCGGCTGCAAACGGGAAGATTTCAAATAGTGCTGAGGTGGTGTTGAAATTTTCTAGTGAGGTAGTCTCCAGTGGCCAAGAGTCGTATACCCAGTCATTACCAAATATCGCTGCATAACCTATGGCACCTGATGCGTCAGTCCAAATTACCGGGGAATCGTCAGAAATGGGGGGAACAAATAATGACCTGCCATTCCAAGAGGACAGAAATAGATGCCACATTTTTAAATCTGCTCTAGCTGGTTTGTCTACGTTAGTTGTGGAATCTTCGTCGGGGAGACCGTGTAAGAGAGAGAGAATTCTGGAAATAAATGACCTCCCCTGTGGAATTATTCTCATTGCGAAGTTGAGTGACCCAAGAAGTGACTGGAGCTCTTTCCTGGTGCAAGACCCTTGTGAGGTGCAGATATCGATCTACGCTAGAATTCTGTCTACTTTCTCTTGAGGCAGGCTAGCTTGCATTGAGACTGAGTTAAGTGTTATCACCAGGAAGGTAATCTCTGTGTTGGGACCTTCTGTTTTGTCCGGGGCTACTGGAACTCCTAAATCCTCAAACAGTGACAGTATGTGATGTAGGCTGCTTGGTGTGAAGTAGTGTGGTTCAATAGAGAGAAAATCGTCCAAATAGTGAATGATTACTGGACATCTGCATTTGTTAAGTAGGAGTGTGGCGATACCAACCTCGCCACTGTACACTGGAGAAGCCTGGTTGCTCGCCTGCTGCCTTTGGACTATGGCCCCATGTTAAAAGACATCTTTTTCCCTGCAGAAAAGACTTATTCGTGCTTTTCTGCCGGGTGTTCGGTAGATTTGTTTGAGTGTGTTGTACCCTAGATAGGAATCCCATGGAGCCCATTCGCATGAAACTGACTGTGTAAAGACTTTGCCTCCATGGCGTTTAAACTGTATTCGTGTGGTCTGAGCGCCATTCGCTTAATAATGTGCGCTCAGACCTGAGCTATCTGGGGATATGTAGAACGTATATGTTTTATGTACTGAATGTAACTGTAGGTAATTTTATGTCTTTTACTGTTTGTTTTCTGCCATGTGGTTAATGGATAGGATTACTTCTCAATTATCTCCAGAGCAGAGAGGAGGGATTGTGATGCATTGTGGGATGGTTGAAATGTGTAAGTCTGTGATTGGTCATTTTACACTTTGTGTCCCAGTCTCCCATTTGGTCCCCTAGGGGAGTGTCCACCAGGTGGGAGACCTGCATAAAAGCCGGGCAGTTAGCCCCAGTAAATCAGTTCCTGCTTAACCCTCAAAGTGAAGTGTCATCTCATTATTGGGGGGAGGATTTACTGTATGCTGTTAGAGACTGATTGCCAGGAGTGTAAGCCGCTTGGGGGCTTTTCCTGTTCGTCTGCTAGCAGCTATTCGTGTGTCTCCAGTTTGGGAGTTTCGAGTATTCCCTTGGTTGCAGTTCGGGAGTTGGTGAATTCGTGGGTTTGCAGTTCAGGAGACTGGTGCTTGCAGTAGCTGTCGGTGCAGCTGAAAAAGGGGAATATCGCCTAAACGTTTTTTAACCTCTTTTGGGCAAAACGGTCCGTTACAAGGAGCCAGGTCAAAGTTTCGGCGAAAATATCAAAAATCTTGGGGCTACTTTTGGAGCCGAAAATTAGTCTGGTAGCGAAATAGTACTTGTCTTCACACCTAACGCCATGCAGGTGCCAGAGTGACTGATGTATTGGTAGTAGTTTGAATGCATTTGTGATGTCTGTTTTACTTAAAGGACCACTATAGTGCCAGGAAAACATACTTCCGGCTCTGGAAGGTTGAAAGGGGTTTAAACGTACCTTTTTCCAGTGCTAGGCGGGGAGCTCTCTGCCTCCGATCCTCCTCCGTTCCTCCCAGTTAGCTGAATGCGCACGCGCAGCAAGAGCTCCGCGCGCATTCAGCCGGTCGCATAGGAAAACATTCATAATGGACGCTGGCGTGCTCTCACTGTGAAAATCACAGTGAGAAGCACGCAAGCGCCTCTAGTGGCTGTCAATGAGACAGCCACTAGAGGATTAGGGGGAAGGCTTAACTCATTCATAAACATAGCAGTTTCTCTGAAACTGCTATGTTTATGAAAAAATGGGTTAACCCTAGCTGGACCTGGCACCCAGACCACTTCATTAAGCTGAAGTGGTCTGGGTGCCTAGAGTGGTCCTTTAACTATGCAGCATTGCCGGATTGAATGATAGCTTCATTATTCTTGCGTATTAAAGAGAGAAATACTCGGATGCTATCAGAGCATTTAAGCTAGGTGTCGTGGAGGAGTGAGGTGCTGAAAAATCAATTATGAGTCTCTTTTTATTATTACATTTTTCTGTAGTTATGCCTAGAGGATTTGTTCTCCAGAAGGTGAAAGGTGGGGTTGTAAATGGCCCTATCATGAAACAGTTGTTGATTTTTTTATGAAGGAGTTCTTGTAGACTACTAGGGTCAGTGAGTGCAGACTGTAACTACAACCTCCTGCACTGAAGTTGTTATAGTCTTAAGCCTTTCTAAGAAAAACAATTGGCCTGCCTAGTTTGTCTCTCAACACTTTTTGGATCATTACCGAATTTTCGAAGTGTAGTAGTGCCGAAGTGCCGAATTGCTGGTGCCGAAGTTCCGAAGTTGCCGAAGTTCCGAGGTGTCAAAGTGCCGAAGCACAGTATTGCCCAAGTATTAATATACTTACCCAGTGAAAGAAGAAGAATGTTACAATGTATACAATTTCAAATAAAAAGTATACAAACATAGCCAGGATTCAGCTGTAAGCATTTGCAACACTTACAACAATCAAGTAACACACATTCATATAAAATGTAAGTTACAGGAATGAATAAGTAGAAAACTCCCAGCAGTCCCCCTGCAGCAGCTACGGCCACCCGGGCCCTCCAGGGCCATGTGATCACCATCATCACATCGCCACAATAGGAGTCTATTTGCTGCCAGCAGGGGGACCCCTCGAGGCACTCAGTACAGGCAGAGCATCGGAAGCCTGTTTGAAGGCGTGACAAGTTCACCTTTTTAAAGTGTGAATGTTCATAGATTGTTTTGACATAAAATACAAGGAGTAATATAAAATGACATAATTAAGCGATTTTAGAAGTTGGTATGTTTGTCTTGTAAACTTAGTAGCCATGAGAGAAAATACAATTGCCAACAACTTTTCGCCGCCAGAGATGTTCTTTCCCTTATTTAGGGTGATGCTGCAACAATCACGATAATCCAAGTCACGGTATAGCTGTTCCCTACAAACATGTTTGTACGTGCTCTTAATCTGTGTCCCTTGTTCGGGAGCTTGTTCCCACCGAACACCGCTCCTCTTATGCGAACCCAATCGAAGATATGGATAGATGGAAGTCCCCGCAGTGTTCGCATTTGCGTTCCATGCACTCGACGGCCAAACACCGCGGTATGCATTGACAGCTAAAGATGGCCTACACCACGTCTTCGCTCATACGAATGACAGCCACCCAGCTGACCATTCAGAACGTTGGGTTAATTGGGGTTACTGAGGTGAGAACAAGGGTCAACAGGGTCAATGAGCAGCACACAACACCCCTGGGTGGTCTGGCTGTTCAGCAGTTTGGTCGGTTTATGAACTAGATGGGTCTCAGAGGTTCAGTGAATCCCATATACCGAACCACCCAGTGTAGCAAGTAACAGAAATTAAAAGCGGGACAATCCACGGATAGGGGATCTGTCACAGTGCTCCCTCCTTGTGGAACACTCAAGCAGACTCAGTTTTACCTTTTTCGGGTCAACTTGGGGATGCCCGGGGTTTATTCAGTTGGTGTTCTCTGTTTGCCAGGAGAACCCGTCGGCATTGCCGTTTTGCTTCCCTGGTCGGTAGTGGATGGTATACTTGTAGGGTTGCAGGGCCAAACTCCACCGTAGTAATAGGCCATTATCCCCTGCGACCCGGTTTAGCCACACCAACATTTTGTGGTTGGTAATCAAGGTGAATTCTTGTCCGTACAAGTAAGGAGTCAATTTCTGTAAAGCCTAAACCAACGCCAAGCACTCCTTTTTCATTGCCGTGTAGCTCACCTCCCTGAGTAAAAATTTCCTGTTGAAATACGCTACAGGGTGCTCTCCTCCATCTTCTCCAACTTAAAACGGCCCCCAGCCTGAACATGGAAGCGTCTGTGTGGACAATGAAAACGTTAGTTAGGGACTAGGGCAGCCAAGACAGGGGCATTCACTAGAGCTTGTTTGAGAGACTGAAAAGCGGCTTAACATGCGGGAGACCACAGGATCTGCCTGGGTAAACTCTTTTTTGTCAGGTCAGTCAGGATTTTAGCTATAGTGCTATAGTCTGGTACAAATCGCCTGTAGTACCTGGTGGTCCCTAAGAATGCTAATATCTGGGTCTTGGTGCAAGTGTGGGCCAGTTAGCGACCGCTTCTATCTCAGCGGGTTCTGGCCGCTGTTTCCCACACCCCACCTGGTGTCCCAAGTACTGGACCACTGCCATGCCAAGATGGCACTTGTCCAGTTTCAGAGTTAGGCCTGCGGCCCGAATCTTATCTAGCACTGCCCCTATATGAACAAAGTGTTCTTCCCAGGACTCACTGTAGATCACAGTGTTGTCCAGGTACGCACAGGCGAAATCCTGGAAGCCATCGAGGAGCCTATCCACCATGCGCTGGAAGGTGGCCAGGGCATTCTTCATCCTGAATAGCATGACTCTAAATTGGTACAAGCCAAACGAGGTGATGAAGGCCGACTTGGGGATAGCCTCTTCGGCCAGGGGAATCTGCCAATATCCCTTGCATAAGTCGATGGTGGTCAGATACCGTCCCCTAGCTATACGATCTAATAGCTTATCTACCCGGGGAATGGGATACGCATCGGTGGTGGTCCAAACATTCAGTCGCCTGTAGTCTACGCAGAACCGGGTGGTCCCATCTTTCTTTGGTACAAGAACCACAGGCGAAGCCCACAGGCTGTCAGAGTGCTCGATAACCCCTAGGTGTAGCATCTCTTGTATCTCCTTCTGCATTCCTTCTCGGACTGCTTCAGGGATATGGTAGGGGGGCTCTCGGAGCGGGGTTTGCCCTGGCATCTCTACTTTGTGGGCCGCTAGGGTGGTATACCAGGGCTCTTGGAAGATCATCAGTTGCTTTTCTGATAGTAATTGTCGGGCCTGTTCTGTCTCTAGGGTCGTTAACCGGTCTCGTATTTTAACTGAGCTGATTATATCGGCTTGGGGCTCTCTCTCTAATAAGTCGGGTAGGGAAAGGTTCTCGGGGTCATCCCCAGTTGGGGTGCATACAGTGGCTATATCTTCCTGTCTTTTTTGGTATTCTTTCAACATATTTATATGGAAGGCTCTTTGTATCCTTTCATCCGCATAGCTTGTGACTACATAGGTGGTGTCACAGAGTTGCTCTACTACTTTGTAGGGGCCCTGCCAGGCGGCTTGCAATTTGTCCTTTTTGACTGGCTTTAGCACAAGTACCTTTTGTCCCACCTGGAATGTATGCTGCCGCGCACCCCTATCGTACCAACCCTTTTGTCACCCCTGGGCTGCCTGGAGGTTCTCCTTTATCATCCTGGCCAACTGCTCCATGAGGTCCCGGAACGACAACACATACGGCACAATGGGAATTCCCTTGTGTTCTTTTTCCCCTTCCCAGTGTTCTCTGATAAGATCAAGGGGACCACACAGGGCCGTCTTTAAGGAGGGGCAAAAGGGGCAGCTGCCCCGGGCCCAGTTACTCCTTGGGGCCCCTGCAGCACCTGAGGTAATCAGGGGCCACAGCCCTTTAATACTGCTCTGGACCGGGCCCTTGTAATATGGGGGTTGGCTGAATACAAACACACAGCTAGCCCCTCACACACTACCCTGTGATCCCTCTTCTTCTCCGTGGCATGCTGGGAGGCAGTGAGGTCAGATCACTTCCTCCTCAGTGCCCTGGGGAGGAGGCACACACCACACGGAGGAGGAAAGGGACTGAGAAAGCTGATGGCAGACTCCCATCAGCCTGGGCCAACAAGCTCCCACTAGACCCCAGGGAAGCCACCTTTCTGTACCCAAAAGGTAAGGAGACAGGAGGGTGGCTAAATATGTTTTGTTTTTTGTTTTGCTTATTTCTGATATCACTTTTATTCAAGTGTTGGTGTTTGTAATGTAACACACAGGGAATAAGTACATGTTAAAAATCCTAGAAGAACCTGACAGTTCCCTATTAAATATACATTTAAAAAGTATTTATTTTAAAATATTATTGCATCAAGTGTTATCAAAGGTTGTATACCATTTCCAAATGTCACTTTTGCCAAATTCTGGACCAGGGTATGTAAGAACAGAGTTGAGACATTATTATGGCCAAGGTTGCTGGGAGTTGCTGTCCAAGAGCTGCTAGAAGGCAGAGATTAAAATATGTAAATGTACACATATATATGTGTGTATGTATCTGGCTGTGTTTATGTCCTTGTGTGTATCTGGCTGTGTTTGTGTCAGTGTTGGTATCTGGCTGTGTTTGTCTGTGTGTCAGTGTTTCTGTGTGTATGTATGCCTGTTTATGTGTACTTGTGTGTCAGTGTGTATGTGTACCTGTGTGTGTGTTTGTGTGTGTGTGTGTGTGTATGTATGTATGTGTCAGTGTGTGTAGGTGTGCATCTGAGTGTGTGGTAATGCATACATCCCAGCATTTTAATGCCAACACAAATACACTCCATCTCTAGCACTGTACACATATACACCCCTGCATTTATACCTTTATGTATGTGTGTATCTGAGTGTGTGTGTACATACCTGTGTCAGTGTGTGTGTGTACCTCTGTGTGTGGATGTGCCAGTGTGTGTGTGTATCAAAGTGCTTGTATCTGTGTGTCAAAGGGTGTGTATCTGAGTGTGTGTGTGTATGTGCCAGTATGTGTCAAGGTGTGAGCATGTGTCAGTGTGCCTATGTGTGTATCTGCGTGTTAATGTGTATGTGTATATGTGTTATAGAAATCACACAACATGCAAACAGAGCCCTGCAAACACAAACATTACATACAAACACACCAGTTTGCTGAAACACCAATACTACACACAAATGTACACAACACTACATCCAAACAACCCCCTGCATGCAAATACAAACATTACATACAAACACATTCCTGTATTAAAACGCTAAAATTATATACAAACACCAACTCTACACACAAAAGTACACCTGCATTTAAAAGCCAACACTACAGACAATCACACATTACTGCATTCAAACGCAAACACTACACACAAGTACACCACTGCATTCCAATGGTAACAGTACATACAAATACACCCCTACATGCACACATACACTCTATACAATAACATGCTGACATTCAATTGCACAAACACTGCTCAAAAATACAACCCTGCAAGGATGGTAGATCCCCACCTGGCATAGCATCGCAGGAGTTGTATGACAGATGGGGATCTATCTTTTCTTTACTCTTGTGCTACAGGGCAGGCCTGAATTATTATTTTTTTGCACCAAGGCACTCTCTACATTAGTTTCGCCTCTAGGTTGGGGTGGAGGGTGTGGTGTATCACCAAATTAATATATATACTACACAAGGTTCGTCTACATTAAAAGGTATTTATTAAAAGGCAACAACACAATACTATAAATGTATCACAAACACACAGCCCAGACCCACGGAGCAACAACCCTTTTTAAATCTATCTATGTATATAGTAACCCCTTACACACACGCTTGATCTCACCCACGGTTAGGCCTTCACATCTAGTAATGGCTCACTGCTGCAAATTCAACATCACATCCACCAAGGAAGAAAAGGAAGCAACAGAGTGTAACATGGTTCACCAAGATAGCACATGGCGTCTGCACATCTGCTCTGCAGCACAGCCAAGAAGGAACAGGGAGGAATGGAGAAAGGGGAAGTGGTTATCTCTTTCCTGACTTGTAAAGGTATTGAATTACCAATTAACATTTCAAAAGGGTAAAGCTTATCCCACTGTAAGAAAAGCAAACATGAGCTTGGTCACATGACCCCTGGTCACCATATTAGTTTGATGACAGAATGTCACCACAGAGGGAGTGATTGCATGCCCAGGGGGCCCAAGCAGATGCTTGCCCAGGGTCCAATCAATATTAAAGAGGGCCCTGGGACCACATACCCTTCTCCCATAGTCAAAAGGGGAAAACCCAGTAGATTCCTGTGGCACCTCTCGGTGTTCGAAGAGAAGGTGCGGTAGAAATCTCTCCCAGTCTCTGTGATTGTCAGCGATAGTTCTCAACATCTGTTTGAGAGTGCCGTTGAACCGCTCACAGAGACAGTTAATCTGGGGGTTTTAGGGGGAACTTTGTATGGTCTTACTGCCACATACCTTCCACAGTTGATGGGTAAGCTCAGCTGTAAATTGGGTTCCCTGGTCAGAGAGTAAATATCCTAACCAGAGCATTGGCAACAGTGTCTGCCTGGATATTTGTGAGAGCAACGGCTTCTGCATAGCGGGTAGTGTAGTCCTCCACGGTAAGTAAGTATAAATTTCTTACCGGATGGATTGGGTCTCTGTAGGGGCCCCAACAGGTCGACTACTATCCGGCTGAAAGGCTCCTCAGTAATGGGCATGGATAGTAGTCAAGCTTTGGAGTGATCCCCACTCTTCCCTTCCTGCTGACAGTTATCACAAGTTTTGCAGTACCGACGCACATCTCTCCAGACTTCCCGCCAAAAGAAATTCTGGGTTACTCAATGACATGTGCGGCGTACCCCAAGGTGTCTTGCTAGGGGGATGTCATGCCCAATCCAGAGAAGCTCCATCCGGTATTTCCTAGGAACTACTAGTTGTCGCTTCTGAGATGGGGCTGTCCCTATACTGTGGGTCTCGCTCAACCTGTATAACCTATCCTGCTCCCAGATAAATCTCTCCCCCTTTAATCCCCCTTGCTCAGTGTTGACCTAGGCCCTATATTTGTGGAAGGTAGGGTCTGCACGTGTTTCCCTCCCAAACTCCTCTGGGGAGCACCAGTCTAACGGGATCGGGTCTACAGTCATAGTCAGGGGTTCGGGTCTTACCTGAGTTTCTGCAACATGTGGGCCAGCTCCTGCTGTCTGAGCTTGTAGGCAAGTGGTCACTGGTTGAGCTTCAGCTGTTTCCCTGGGGATATAGGCGGATGTTAAGGGCCCCAAGTCATTTCCTAGTAATACTTCTTCAGATAAAACCTTCATTATTCCCACATTCACCATGCCAGTTCCGACTCCCCAGTCGAGGTGAATGTAGGCTGTGGGTAGATGATAAACAGCCCCCTCTGCCACCCGGACAGCTACAGTTTGTCCGGTGTGCTCATTTCTACGCACTAGATGGTGTTGCACCAGGGTCATGGTGGCTCCGGTATCCTGTAATCCTCTAGCAGACTGGCCGTTTACCCACACTGCTTGTCGGTGTTGCTGTCGATTGTCCTGGTTAGCTGCCTGAACGGGGTTGGCCTCGTGGAGTACCCTCCAGCACTCATCTGACTGTGATTCAGGAAGGTTGAGGGGGCCCCAAAGGGCAGTTGCTGTGGACATGTCCTAGCTGTTGGCAACGGTAACATCGAAGATTGGTTCTAGGCGGGGCGGGCTGATGCCTGGGTGGCCCCCGGTAAGGGGTGGGATTAGAGGGTACTATAGCTCGGATCTCCAGTTGGGGGGAGTGTGATGAACTGATCCTCGTCACGGGTGCTTGGAGGGGCCTTCTGGCCAGCCTCTTGCCAAAAGACTACGGGCCAAGTCAACGACTGTAAAGACCCGTATTTTATTCGCTCTGGTTCAGCACTTTACATAGAACTGAACACTAGCTCCCTGGTGTAGTATTTTACCAAACTCTATAACTTATTTTATAAACATAAACATATAAACTCTGGTCCGTCTACTTTAACAAATATTTATTCAGAGACAAAACAACAACAACAACATACAAATAATAACACACAATCTAACTAACTATACCAACAACAGCAACAACAATCTAACTAACAATAACAACTAAATCTTATAAAAGTCACCAGATCCCACTCACAGTTCACCATTATAAAAATCAGTAGCACAGCCAAGAAGGAACAGGGAGGAATAAAGATAGGGGGAAGTGGTTATCTCTTTCCTGACTTGTAAAGGTATTGAATTACCCAATTACTATATCAAAGGGTAACGCTTATCCCTCTGTAAGAAAGAACTACATGAGCTTGATCACATGACCCCTGGTCACCATATTAGTTTGATGACAAAATGCCACCACACCTGGCAGCCTTTCGCATGGACCGAAACTGTGAATAGATTTCAGGCGGACTTACCCGCGAATGCCTTGGAACTATTTTTGGCATGAAGACTTCGCGGTTCCTGGTCGGTCCCGCCGTGGCACCTAGCCGCGATTCTTTGTAACTGTTTTGGGCATGGGACCATGCGTGCAGTCGGTAAAAACATGTCAGGATTACAGTATGATCCAGCACGTAGAATTGTGTAACACAGAGGACTGATAGGTAACATATACCGGACCTTAAAATGGCCGGACTAACGTACCAAAGAATAGTCAGGAATAGCTGAGGTCAAGGGACACAGAAAGAGACACAACAATAAGGAAAAGCTAGGGGTCAGGGATGCCAGAAAACAGGAAAGTAAAAATCAATGCCAAAGTCAAATAACCAGAATAACCAGAATCAATAACGCGCTCTCGGACAACCACAAGGGAAACCACGACAGGGCACTGAGCAAGAGGAGAACTGGGCCTAAATACCCCGCCTGAGGATCTGATTGGTTGTAACCTGCCTTTGACCCCAAAAGCAGTTACCAGGTTACCAATGTTGCTCAGCACAACTCTTCCTGTCAGAACAGTAAATGCTATTAATCACATTTCCATGTGCGGATGAATACGTGACAAAACTATGACTTCCAGGAAATTCCTGAACCCCTGAACTGATCTGGATGATTTTTAGATATGTTGGTTACCCAGATCA